TTGAAAAGTAATGATTGTGGCTTCTTTATTTCGTCCTGTGACATTGATTTCTGCTTAAAACGTAAGGCGCTTTCTGTGACATGCTGTGACTTTTGATTCAGTAACCAAGTTGCTGTGCATGTCAATTTCTTCTTTGTTATAAAGATAATCACTTCTTTTTGGGCATGTGATTAGTAAGGCGTGTTGCAGCATACCTGTGTATAAAAATTGTTTATTTCTATGGAGTGAAATTTTATGTGTGGCCTTTGACAGAAGTGGCAAGTTTCTTTTGCTGTCCAGTGTATTGCAAATGGCCCTTATAATTATACGCTTGCGTAGTTAGGAGATACCTGACAGAATGAAAGTGTGATATGATACGCAGGATATTGTTTCAAGCTGTAACGCACTAAACACATCTGAAACTTCTTGACCATGTTGTCAGATATTACGAAAAATTCAAATCATACTGTATGAAACTTATGAGATATCTTTGTTAATTCTGTAAATAAAACAAACCAAAGTAGCACCCAGTCCTTGCTGCAACGTAATTATTACGTCGAGCTGAACAAAATAATATTTACTGTAGGTTCTTATTAATGTTTATGTTCCTATTAAAACCAATTAAGCCTGGTTATCAAAAGCACCGTTAATTCGAGTTTCTAAGGCTACCAAGGAAATTTAGGTCAGTATCCTTCGTTCTTCAGTTTTTATTCCTGGTATTATGGTTCTCATTACTACCAGTTTAGCCCACAAAGTCTGAAGGATTTCTTATGTACATGCTTTTGCCGAGCGGCATTCAAGCCTAACACGAGTTAGTACAATCGCCCTTTCCACACTTATTTCTGTGTCTTCGATAAAATTTCATTGACAAACTATTTCCAACCAGATCAAACTGTGAATTTGAGCTTCATTTTGCTGACCTAATTGACACTCGGAAGAATGCGTTCATTGTTCGGAGTGAGCAGAGTGTTTTCCACGGAAGCAACATTGACCTTGAATCTGAAAGTTCCTTTTTCTTAAGCCGTTTGCTTTCTTTTAGACTAAGCAGTGCGGCCACGACGTCCACGAGTTTCAGCAAAAAAGTTCTCGGATCACACCACTTCAGTCTACTTGCGCACTGGCAACTTAACCGCCCAGGGCTTACCCGTGATTTTTTTCAACGGTATCCTGACTAGGCCTGGTCCTGTCATAAGCTTCGGTCGTCTTCGAGGATCAATGGGACGGCAAACATTATCACTCGTCGTCGTACATTACTGCATTCAGCTCGAAAAGTTAATTCAGTGCCCGTCATGCCCCCCCCCCAAATAACAATTGCATCCCATTGCGATGAGTTTGGAGTCTCGATGAGCAGATCTGGAATGAAAATAAATCGAGCGTAGTACTGGACTTGACACGACTCATAATACACACTTCCGTTGCCGGCAGACAAGCTCACAAATCTGTTGCAGTCCTGGCAAATAATAATTTAATTCAGCAGAAATTTGTGACCAGTGTGTGAACGTGTATAATGGAGTAAGTCAAATGAAATAGAGTCACTGAACTTCTGGATATTATAATGAAGATGCAAGCCGTATTGATAGTTCTATCTATGCACCCCAAATTCAGCAGGAGATGAGAAAATACTGTAAAGAAAATGTGTTTCGTATTCACTGAGTTATAAAATGCTTGAAGGAGTGCATTAATGATGTAGCGTGGAAACCCAGCTCAACTACAATAAGGAAGAACCCATATGTACCAGTGCAGTGCAACTCAGCCAAACATATATCCACACTGTTATAACCGATCCTCCTTTGACTTCCATTTCGCAAAATTCTTGAGAATGGTTATACCGTCATAGAACTCATACGCTGTAACAATTACTAATTTGAAGGACATCCACACGTGAAAAGGATGTGGATGAACTCTAAAAGTGTAATCAATCCATGACTGATGTCAGTGACTGGTCGTCACTCCGATTATTTCCGCATTCAAACTTTTAATCCTCCTTCACTTGACTAATCGCAGCGCCCTACTCAGTAAGCGTGTGATATAGTGAGATGAGGCGTTTCCCACATAGCTTTTTTTTTATTCTGATGATCTCCTGCGTACACTCAAATTGGTTGCAAAAGAATAAAACGCTTTCTAAGTCTCATATTCTGGGATTTATATAAACAAACAAACAGACGAATTTCATTGACCATCTTCACTTGTGGAAAAGCGTAGAGGAAAGCTATTACGGCCACGTATGCTAGTACTGGCACTAGTCTGGCAGTGTTAGTTTCACGTAGGCCAAGGTCTATGGACGTGCCACTAGTGCGATTCAGTCGAGTAGACCTTTCAGCAAAGGTTAGATTCATCACAATTTATCGTAAAACCAGATTATTACTTATGTTTATCCTAATAAATGACATAAATTGTATTTAGCAAAAACTGACAGACTATAGAAGCATGATCTGCAGTAACAGTTTATCTGCGTTACCACCGAATTTCAAGTTCATCGTTAGATTTCTGAAGTTACAGATTGATATTTAGCATGCAGGCTTTCTCTCTTTTATTTAGGTACTTTTTCAATTCGTATGAATTAATTTGCTGGGAAATAAGTGCAAAAGACATTTTTTTTTTTTGAGTTGAGTTTTAACGAAGTAACTAAATGTCCTTTTTTTTTCATGTTAGTATCCGACGGTTTCGGCACCGCGCTAAACATGGTCGTAGTACAAAATTTGGCCAATGCGATCTCACTGCGATTTGTACTTCCCGCGAGTGGCTGCCAGGGTCGGCGAAAAACAACCTTGCCCTTGTATTCCCACGGCGATGAATATGATGGAAAACAACTTTCGATGTGCTATCGACATCGAAGTCCTAGGGCCAATTTCATAGAGCTGCTAAAGTACAAAATTTGCTGAACCTTAAGCGT